CAGAGTGCAGAGATCCAGCTGGGTGGCCAAGAAAGCTCCTCCCTAGAAAGTGTGGGCAAAAGCACAATTCTCAGGCAAGGCAGGGCAAAGGGATCCTGGGTTGAGGGGAAGTCTCTGTAGGGCTTCGGGGAATCTTGTCATCCTGGGTCCCTTGTCTCTCTCTCTCTTTTTTTTTTTTTTTTAAGATTTTATTTATTTATTTGACAGACAGAGATCACAGGTAGGCAGAGAAGCAGGCAGAGAGAGAGGAAGGGAAGCAGGCTCCCTGCTGAGCAGAGAGCCTGATGCGGGCCTGGATCCAAGGACCCTGGGATCATGACCTGAGCCAAAGGCAGAGGCTTTAACCCACTGAGCCATCCAGGTGCCCCAGGGCCCCTTGTCTCTTAACTTGATGTAACCACCCACACTCTGCTCCAACTACCTTGTTAGGGGACCCTCAGGCTTCACTTGTGGTGATGTCATTGTTGCCAACCTCCTCCCCTGACCATTGTCACATTGCCCCATCACCAGCAACATACCAGCCACCCTCCCTTCACTGTCATCGCCAGAACTACTCCCCTCATCCCCATCATCACTGTCACCATCAGCATTGACGACCATCTCCACCTCAACCAATATCATCACCAACCACACTACATCACAATTTCATGCCACTGCCACCACTATCACTGCCACCGCCATCGCTGCCATATCCCGCTTGACATCACCTCCATCACCTAGACCAGAATCACCATCCCGTGACCTCCACGATGCCCATCGCTGCTGTTGCCATGATCAGCATCACCACCATCACTGTTACCATGGCCACCATGTCACCTCTGACACCACCTCCACCATCAGTCACCATAACTGCCCTCCTCTGCCTCAACTAGTATTTGCATTGTCTTGACCACCAGTATGGCTCTCATCACCACCAAGACCGTCACCAGCATCACGGCCATCACTATCATCTGTACCACCTTCACCTCCACCAATGCCACTGTTACCATGACGACCGTTCCCATTGTCCCCATCACCTGCAACGCCACCGTTTCCACCCTGACCACTTCCCTTCTCAGTACTACCATCATCATCCCCTTTGTCACCTCTGCCATCACACCATCACCACTGTCTGTACTTTACCATTACCACGAAACTGCCCGTGCCACCACCACCACCACCTCCCTCGGAGCCTCTGTCACCGTGATCACATCGCGCAGTTGGTGACTATAACAAGTGTGAAGACTATTTAATAGAAGTTTTTGCAACCATGGGACGACCCGGGGGTGTAAAGATCAGGGACACAAGTCATCGCTGCTCCAGTGTGAGTGGATTTCAAGACCTGGCCTGGAAGCTGCTGGAATCTCACGCTACTCCAGGAAGCTCCCCAGAGTAGCTCAGCCTGTGGCTCTAATGCTGGGGTGTCTCAGAGGATGGCCTGGAAGTTGCTGCAAACCTCCAGTCGTCACCTGCCTTCAGCTTCTTTCTCTTTCACTTTCCAAATCATGTGCATTGGCAGACTACCCCTGGGACCCACATAGGTAAGGGGATTCTGGAGAATTTTCCCTAACTCTCTAGAGCATGGAGGAGACCTTCAAAGGTGGGAGGTAGATGCCATGTCTGCCATGTCATTGCCATCGGTGTCAGCACTGTTGCTAGAGCACGCCGTGACTCCCACTGTCGTGACTCCCTCCATGGCTGTCACAGATCCCCTCAGCCACATGGCATGGCCATCAGCACCAGCACTGCCATCGCCGGTGGCACCCGGGCCACCAATCCCACCAGCTCCAACAGCCCCACGATCACCAGCAGCACACCTCAGGATTGCCCCCTTCCTCAGCAGATCGTTCCTCTCCAGCTATTGCTGGAGACTTGCAGAACCTTCCTGAACAGAGTACCATTCCCTATCCGCTCCACTGATGCTGGCCTGGGCCACATGGTGTGAGCATGGGTGACACACATCACATCCTGGGAGAAGTTTTCAGCGACACTCCATGTGTCTTCCAGCTCCCACTCCCATCCTCCCTGCCATGAGAATGGTATGTTCCAGACTGGAGCACGCCCTCATCTGGGATCCAGAAGGAGAAGATGTGTGAGTTGGAGCCCAGGCGAAGTAGGCAAGGGCGAAATGTCTGTCATGAGGCTCCGAGATGTGGGGGTCATTACTGAAGCAAAGCCATATGACACGCAGCTTGCACTACCCCACTGCCTTCGTCCCTATCACTGCCACCAATGTCACCACTTCTAGGACCACAGTTACCATGGCCAACCTCCCCGATAGTGCCCCTAGCAACCCTTTCATCACCTCCTTGTCACACTTCCACCATCACCACCATCACCACCATCACTATCAACACCACCTCGACCACCACGGGTGTCCAGCTACCATCCCCTCCACCATCACCTTCACGTGTTAACTGTCCCACCCCAGGCATGACTACTGCTGCCACTACCAGCACCACCTCCTCCCATTATCAACTCTACCATCAGCACCATGGCTGTTCTCCCTCTCACCACCAGCTCCATGTCAACACCGCTAACCTAATCACCTTTTTCGTCTTAGTGATGCTTGGTTCACCACCGTACCATCCCCACAGTCATCGTGGAGAATTGTGTGGGGAGGCAGACTTCCCGTGCTCCAGTGGACAAGGCTGTCGAGAGTAGTCTCTAACGATAGTGACGGAAATGTAGTTACAAAAACACAGGAACATTTTCATCTGTAGCTATCCCCAGTGGACTTGCTCCTTGCTGATCATTTCCTCTACCAAGCGATGTGTGTCAGGTGTTAGCCCCTGGGGGTGGATGGATGGGGGCATGGCGGATGGGTTGTGCTCCCGGTGAGGTGGGTTGGGGGGGTGACTGCGTCTGTCACTCTGTCAGGTTTGTAAAGTGTCTCCAGGTTCTGCTTTCATTCCTCCCAGCATTTGGGACCAGATAGAACCCGCTGTCCCTGCTAGGTGCTGGGAACCCAGCACTGATGAGTATGGAAGGAGTAGAGAGAGAGGGAGAGAGAGAGAGAATACAGAGAGGGATAAGGACTATAGAAAGGAAGAAGAGAAGGAAGGGAGGGGGGAAGAGAAGGAAAGGGAAGAGAGGGAAGGGGGAGAGAAGGAAGAGGAACAGAACACTCTCTTAGGTAAGAGTTAGTGATCCCAATAGCTCTGCTCCTCACTGGTGCAGTCCCTAGACGGTTTAGCATGTGTTCCATCTTAACAGGAGTGCAGTGAGAGGAAGAAGGGACTAGCTCTCAATTGGTACTGTTAATTACTATTTCTTTTTTTTTTTTTAAAGGTTTTATTTATTTATTTGACAGAGAGAGATCACAAGCAGGCAGAGAGGCAGGCAGAGAGAGAGGAGGAGGCAGGCTCCCTGCTGAATAGAGAGCCCGATGCAGGGTTCCATCCCAGGACCCTGAGATCATGACCTGAGCTGAAGGCAGCGGCTTAACCCACTGAGCCACCCAGGCGCCCCGTTAATTACTATTTCTAAATATGATCTAACATTGGGGCAAGAATTAAAGAAATGTAAATACTTAGGAACATCTGGTCCCTAACTCGCTCACCTTACTCACTTTCCAGGGCTGCCATGGCAAATTATCACAAACTGGGTGACTTAAAACAACAGAAAGGCAACCTCTCACCATTCTGGAGGTCAGAAGTCCAAGATCAAGGTATTGGCAGGGCTGCACTTCCTCCTTCCGGCTTCTGGTAACTGCAGGCTCTCCCTGTGCTGCCTTGCCATCCCCCTCTTCTTCTGTGTGGCTCCATAAGGACGCTTGCCATTGGGTTGGGGACATACCGACAAAATCCAGGATGCTCTCCTCTCAATATCTCTAATTTAATTACATCTACAAGACCCCTTTTCCAAAGGAGATCACATTCGCAGGTTCCAGTGCTTAGGACAGTGACATAGCTTTTGGGGGGCCACCACTCACCCCACTATGCTCACTAGTCACACTTATTTTTTTTCAAAGATTTTATTTATTTATTTGACAGACAGAGATCACAAGTAGGCAGAGAGGCAGACAGAGAGAGAGGAGGAAGCAGGTTCCCCGCAGAGCAGAGAGCCCGATGCGGGGCTTGATCCCAGGACCCTGAGATCATGACCTGAGCCGAAGGCAGAGGCTTTAACCCACTGAGCCACCCAGGCGCCCCACTAGTCACACTTATCTGGATTTTTCTTACCAGACCTGAGTGGAATGCTTCCTTTTATTTGCTGTCTTCAGACAGTGCTGGGTTTGCCTCTCTCACTCTCTCTCACAGATGTGCTGCGTGGCCTTGAGTACATCCTACGTGTCTCTGAGCCTCGTTCATTCAACAAATGTTTACTGATTTCCAGGTAAGGTCTTAGACACGGATGAACATGCCTGCCTTTGTGGGGCTTACCTCTGAGGATCTGACCTGATGAAGGCGTACAAGAAGAATGAACCCAAATGAACCCCTTCTCCCGCCTCCCTGCCTGATTTCCCACTTGGGGCTCCCCCTCCATCCCAAGAACCCGGCCAGTGGGCTAAGTGGACCTGTCCCAAGAAGCCCTCCCTCCCCTCCCCTGACCACGGTCCCCAACCTGCGTTGCTCACCTTGGCCAGATCCTGCGGCTGGTCCTGTCTCTGCTCCATGGTTTCAGGGAGCTCGGCCCACAGGCCCAGCACAACTGAGTTCCAAATTCTCAGCCAGCCAAAGTGCTGACCTCAACCTTGACCTTGTGGGCAGGGGCAGGCCAGTGTGCCCCAGGGCTGGAGGGGGGTTGCTGGTGCAGAGCTGGGGGTGGGATTTGCCCCGCCCATGGGGCTGATGTCACAAAGGGCCCAGCCTCCGCTCTACAGGGGCTGTCTGCCCCTGGCCTGGCCCCACTGTGGCAGTGTCCCCCTCCCCCCACCCCTCTCAGTGGAGGCGCCCACCCGTCCCTGAGAGCTGGTACTATGAAAAGGTAAAGTCGCCGGGCAGAGCCGCGCCCGGAGCCAGCAGATTCCAGCAAGGCCCCCGCTGAGGGACCCACACCAGCTGCTGCCTCCTCCGAGTCCACGGGCCCCCGCGCCCACCTCACCTCTGCCCCCGCCCTCCCCTCGGCATGGCCAACTACTACGAAGTGCTGGGGGTGCAGTCGAGTGCCTCCCCGGAGGACATCAAGAAGGCCTACCGCAAGCTGGCCTTGCGCTGGCACCCTGACAAGAACCCCGACAACAAGGAGGAGGCCGAGAAGAAGTTCAAGCAGGTGTCTGAGGCTTATGAGGTCCTGTCCGACTCCAAGAAGCGCTCTGTGTACGACCGCGCAGGCTGCGACAGCTGGCGGGCCGGTGGCGGGGCCAGCACCCACTATAGCAGCCCCTTCGACACGGGCTACACCTTCCGGAACCCCGAGGATATTTTCCGCGAGTTTTTTGGAGGCCTAGACCCCTTCTCATTTGACTTCTGGGACGTCCCTTTCAACAGTGACCGTGTGGGCCGGGGCCACGGCCTGAGGGGGGCCTTCTCGGCGGGCTTCGGCGAGTTCCCAGCCTTCATGGAAGCCTTCTCGTCCTTCGACACCCTGGGCCGGGCCGGGGGTGGCAGGGCCAACCGCGCCACCTTCTCGTCCACGTCCTTCGGCGGCTCGGGCGCCGGCAGCTCTGGCTTCAAGTCGGTGATGTCGTCCACCGAGATGGTCAACGGGCACAAGGTCACGACCAAGCGCATCGTGGAGAACGGGCAGGAGCGTGTGGAGGTGGAGGAGGACGGGCAGCTCAAGTCGGTGACCATCAATGGCAAGGAGCAGCTCAAGCGGGTGGACAACAAGTGAGCACCCGGCCGCCCCCCAGAGGCCGCTCCTGTGTGCCGCCCACCGTGCACACACCACCCGCGTGGCTGGTGGTTAATAAACGTGCCAAGTGAGTTCATGGAAACAACTGGCCCCGATGTGTGGGGTGTGGGGACCTGATGGGCTGCTGAGGGGGGCAGCCCCCATGCGGGAGAGTGGGTATGCTAAGGCCCGCGGGCGCCAGTTCTGCCCAGGCTGCGCTAGTGGGAGGCAGTGCATGTGTAGGTGATCTGTTGTGATCTCTTGTCTGTGTCGTCGGGGTTGGCATCTGTCCATCTCAACCCAGCCCTGTGCCTCTGTGCCTCTGTGCCTGCCATCGGCTCTCTGACGGGGGACATGCCTCCAGCTCCGTGTCTCACTCCCAGCCCTCTTGGTGACTTGTCAGGCAGCCAACCTGCCAAACCCAAGTCACATCACTTTGCCTGCTTTGCTGCAAGCCTGCGGTGGCTCTCTCTGCTCTAAGGGTAAAGACCTCAGTCTTCGTCCTCCCAGGGAGGCCAAGCCATGGTGGCTTGGCCCTACATACCTTCCTGGTCTCCCCTCCCTGCAACCCTCATTCTCTGAGCTCCAGACACACTGGCCAACCCTTCAGTCCTCCATGGAACCAAATGCCTTGCAACCTCAGGGCCTTTGCACATGCTGTTCTCACTGGTCTATGCCCTCTCATCTTGAGGCCTTTGCTTAAGCATCCGTTCTTCAAGGAGGCCTTCCCCAACACCACTCTTCTGAATTAGTTCTCCACTTACCCCACACTAAAGGTCCCTCACCTGTTTCGCCCCAGCCCTTAGGGTTGTCTGCAGAACTACCAAGAGATGTGTGCCTTCCTGAACACAATGCAGGTCCAAGGGAGACAGGGTCTGTGCCTGCCTCATTGCTCACTGTATCCCTAAAGTCTAGAGCTATGTTTGGCACTAAGAAGAATGTCTTCTAATGTCTGGCATTAGAAGAATGAATATTTCTAGGTGTGTGTGTGTGTGTGTGTGTGTGTCTGAGAGAGAGAGTGTGTGTGTGTGTTGGGGTATTGTGGGATGTGTACTAATCCCAGGCAGGCCAGAGCGGGACTGACTGGGAGGAAATGGCTGTTGGAGCAGGAGATGGGAGGTCCTGGGTACTGTTTTAGGACTCAGAAATACAGTTTGGGGTGAAGACTTTTGCTTGCCTCTGTAGAGCTCATGGCTGGGCCCCTGGGCTGGACTTCAGGGCAGGCTATCGGCGTGGTGTTCTAGTGGTGGGTTCTACCAGCCAGAGCGGTGGTGGGCATCTTCTGAGCAGTTTCCTGGGCTGTGGACAGAGGTACAAGTAGGAGAGAAAGTGAGGCCAGCTATAGGCAGACCAGACCATGGACACATACAAAGGCCTCCTGGCAGGTGTTCTGAGGAGTGGGACCCTGTTGTGTGATTTTTCCAAATAACACTTAAGTAACTCCACATGGTGCAGGGTGGGGAGTGGGCGGGGGGACTGTAGCCTGAGGGTCATGTGTGTGTGGACACCGTGCACACATTTTTGTCTGTATCTGTATAGCACAGAGAAGGGGAGGGTGGTTGATTTCAGTCTGCTGCCCCAGTAGACCATAAGGTCCACAAAAATGGGAGCTCTGATCCTGTTTTTTGCTCACCTCCAGCCTCTAGCCCAAGGCATAAATAGAGCAGATACTCAGTAAATACTTGTTGTATGAAGGTGTTTGTGTGGGCGTGCTTGTATGTGTTTGTCTGAGCCTGACTGAGGTCTCTATAAACTGGGCCACAGGGCTCTGTCCTCAGCCTTGTGTCTTCAATGAGGCACGAAGGCTTTGAAGGAGCCACAAAAGGCACAGACTTTACGTTCTCAGACATGCTCAGTTGGGAGGCTGCAGAACTATTGTCCACATCAGAAATAAGATGAGCAACCCTTGAAACTGGAGTGACTATCGTTAATTCTGCTTTAAAGAGAAGGAGGAAGTCAGGCTGGGGAGACCTGGCTGTGTCAGCCATGTGTGGACATGGAGCTGGAGATCTTAGTGGGCCGGCCACAAGCTTTGTGTGACCAAAGGTGTTAATGAGGAAGTGCCCAGGAAGTTGCATATGCCCTTGGGGAATGGATAGCTCTTCTGTTCAGAATTCTGATCCCGCTTTGTGTTCGGCTCCAGGCCCTGCTCGGGGAGATGGGCAGGAGCAGCCTGGAGTGGGTCCAGAAGGGGTGGCTAGGGTGGGGAGAAGGTTGAAGACTTCATCCTAGGAGAAGCTGGGGAGACTCAGCTTGGAGAAAGGCAGCCTCGTGGATTCCATTTGCTGTCCCCAAGTATCTGCAAGGCTCCTGCAGGCCAGGAGAGCAGATGAGTCTGAGGTCCAGGGATCAGGCCTAGGAGTCACCAGAAGGGTTGGGTGTCACAAGGAGCAGGTCCTAGTCCTATGGAACTGGGGCTTTCTCTAAGTCAGGGCAAGGCCAACTTGCCTAAGGGGAGTGAGCTTCCAATCACGGGAGGGGTGACAGAGCTGAGTCCTGATTACCTGTGGGCCCACAGAGTGCCAGTCTTTTTAAAAATACTGTTTACGCATACTTCTATTTTGAAACAATCCCAAGTTACAGATGGGTCATGCCCTTTTACTTCAGTGCAAATCAAGAAATATGTATTGAGCACTTACTATATGCCAGGCACAGTTCTAGGTGCTGGGGATATAGCAATGGGCGAAACAGATCCCTGCCTGATGGGACAGATGTTCTACTGGGGAGACAGAAAACAAGCAGGTATTTAGAACCTTGTCCTGAGTCGTAATGAATGCTAGAGAGGAAACACAGGCGGGTAACTCGTAGATGAAGGATGGAGTCAAGGGTGTGGGCACAGGAGTGTTTTGTCGGGTGCTTCTGGGAGGCCTCCTGAGGAGGAAATGGGAATGAAAGTGAAATCGTGGACCATGTAGTTATCTGGGGGGAAAGCATTTCTGGGCAGGGGAACAGCAAACTCAAAGACCCTGCCCTAATGAGGAACAGGTGAAGGCAGATAGACACAGTGCCATTTAATGCCCACACTGTCCCAGATTGGTTGCTGCTCCATGTCACATAAGAGGAAACTGAGGCTCAGAGAGAAAAGTCACGTAGCTGGCAGGTGGCTGAGCCAGAATTTCATCCCAGGTGTTTTGACTCCAAAGGATTTACCTTTCAAATGATAAATGATAACCATAATAACCATAATAAGTACAGCAACCAAGGTCAGTGTGCCTGTGTGTGTATGCGTGTGCATGTACATGTGTGTGTGCCTGCGTGTGCAAATGTGTGCATCCCTGAAGGACTGGCATGCTGGCAACTCCTTGTTCCTTGGGGGGCTGTAGTGGAGCCAGAAATGGAGGTGATTCCAGGTGCCAGGGCTCAAGGCTAGTTAGTGACAGGGTGTCTGGTTCCCAGGCTGGGAAGAGGGGATTGTGAGTGTGGCCAGGAAAGGTGCTGTGAGTGCCGATCGGGCTGGGACCTGAGCAGATTTTGCTCATCTATGCATCTCAACTCCCAGTCTGGCAAGTTGTAGGTATCCATCCAGTAACTGATGGGAAATGGAAGAAGGTGGGAGCACACTGTTCCAGGGAACAGCAAGAACCCAGGGGTGTGCTCAGGGGATAGCCTGTGGAGATCATGAGAGGAGAAGCTGCTGCGAGGCCATAAACCTCGAGGGGAGGGCGGGATCTGGTCAAAAATAGACCTGGGAGGAATTCATCCCCATTTCCAGATGGACAGCTAGGCGGAAGGACACCCATAGTGGTGGCAGGGAGGCAGGGCTGGAAGCCTAGAAGTGGCCTGGGTGCTTTTCCCCAAGGGGAACCTATTGAAGGCTTTTTCTAGGAAGTCAAGAGGCATCACCCCAAGATCTCTAGGGGTTGCAAAGCCCCTCAGGTGCTGCAAGTGCCCTGGCCAAGGGGACATAGTCGGTGACCTGGCTGTTGGCTGCACCTCCAGGCTCAGCCTAGCCTCTGGTTTCCCGAGTCCTGCCTCCAGGAGCCCCTGGGACAGGCCAGCAGCTGGAGGTCTCCTAACCATGTTACTGGAGGAACAGGAGAGCCCCCATGACGCACAGAAGGTTGCACCCTAGCTCCCAGCCCTGCAATGGGACTAACTTCATCAAAGCCCCAACTACAGCATTAACCACCTGACCTGTGCCCCTGCCGACCTGCTAATTTCACCAATTACTGGCCAACCGCGGCTGCGTCAAGTGGGCCCGCTTAGCTCCGACAGCTGCTGGGCCAATTCAATTATGGCCCAGCAGCCCAGGCGACTGCGGGGTCCTGGGGCTGGGTGCATGGTGGAGAGCTGGGTGCACTGCCCAGACCTGGGTGCTTGCAAGGCTCTGGTGCCTAAATGCCCTCAGGGTCCCAGGGCCAAGTCGCTGTCTGCACTCCCCTCCTTTCACCAGCCTGGCACAGGAAACCCGTACTTTCCCACCCCAGCCCAGACCTGGACATTCCCCTTCCTAACTCCTCCCAGGCTGCCGATCACCTGGCTAAGCATGCGCCGTGTCCATGACCGCTTTGCTGAATCCTGTCTCAGCCCTTAGCTCCATCTGCCACATTGATAAACCCGAGCCCAGATAGGTTGATGTGCAACTAGGGATGGGCCCCCCAAATCAAGTTCAACTCCCTGAACGGGCATTGGAGGCCCCTGCTGTGTTTCTGGCCACACATGTCACCCGCCCGTGGGCACCGACTGCCCAGCGTCTGTGTCTTGTGCCTTCTGTCCCTGCGCCTGATCCTCCCTTCTCATCGCCTGTGGGCCTGCTAAATTCATCCTTGGGGGCCTCGCTCCAAGTCGCCTCCTTGGGGAGGCCTCACCAAGCCCCGCCGGAACAGGACAGTCTGGCCGAGGGAGCCTCGCCTTCTGGGCCTGGCTGTGTGCCAGGTGCAGAGACTGTAGTGGTGAGGAAGCCCGGGGAGGGGGGTGCCCGCAGAGCCCCCATAAGCCAGCACACACACCCTGGCTTGGACAGGCTGGTTGGGCCTTTTGATTCAAGAGTGCCCCAAGGCGGGGGTTACGTGG